TCCTTCTTTCTTTCCCAACTTCTCTTTCTGTCTCATCTTTCTCTTGGTCATTCCTGAGCTTGCTTCCCAAAACTCCCACCTTGGAACGGTATTTATATTTAACTCACTTAACTGTATGGTATCGCTAGCAAAATCCAGTGAGAAACGATCGCCCACAACGGCTGTCGTCCATTTTTCTTTCTTTCTTTCTTTCTTTCTTTCTTTCTTTCTTTCTTTCTTTCTTTCTTTCTTTCTTTCTTTCTTTCTTTCTTTCTTACTTACTTACTTACTTACTTACTTACTTACTTACTTACTTACTTACTTACTTACTTACTTAACTAATGACCTGCCTTGCTTTAAAAACAGGCTGGTGCAGTTCTAGGACTATTGACAGAAATGCCCGCGAGAAAAGGATACGCTATCAACAATTTATAAGAGACGACAATCTTTGTGTGAAAGCAGCATCTAGAAAGAAACCCACTCCGTAGACTCCCCGCAAAAGGAGAGAACCAGGAACAAAATTGGAAAATTCAGTAGAAAGAAAGAAAGAAAGAAAGAAAGAAAGAAAGAAAGAAAGAAAGAAAGAAAGAAAGAAAGAAAGAAAGAAAGAAAACGGTGTTCTTTCTAAGAGTGAAGATAGATAGATAGATAGATAGATAACGGCGTTCTTTCTAAGAGTGGAAAGTTCTTGAGAGATGGTTTTGCTTGTTGGGTTTTTACACCACTGAGAGCTGTCCAGGTGCTGAAATCGCGGAAGCTAGCGTTGGGCAGAGTAGGAAAGAAACCCGTTGCGGAAACTTGCTCCAGCTAATATGAGATCTCGGGATACTTCCTAGTTTCACTAGCCAGAGAGACAGAATGGTTTCCTATAGACAAAGATGTCAGACAAAGGTGCATTTTATCCCTTTATCTATTCAAACTGTATATAGAACATATTACAGTATAAGGAAAGCCAGACTAGATTTTCATTTTATCCCTTTATCTATTCAATCTGTATATAGAACATATTACAGTATATGGAAAGCCAGACTAGATTTGGATGAAGGAAGAGTGAAAATTGGTGGAAGAACCATCAGTAATTTAAGACAAGTAGATACTATCTTACTGACAGAAACCAGCTATGACTTGAAATGACTTTTAGTGAAAGTGTAAGAAGAAAATGCCAAAGCAGGACTGAAGTTGAACATTAAGAAGACCAAATTCATGACTACAAAACTACACAACTTTAATGTTGATAATGAATTAACTGAAATTATTAAATTTTTGTATACAATCCAAACAAAGACAGCAGTCAAGAAATAGGAGAAAACTCTCATAAGGGCATCAATGAAAGAATTAGAAATGTGTAAGGATTTGTCACTGGAGACCACTATCAGGATAATCCACACTCTTGTATTTCCAGTTACCATATATGGGTGGACAATAAAGAAAGGTGATAGGGGAAAATGTTTGAAATGTGGTGCAGGAAGAAAGCTTTGTGGATACTCCGGACTGAGAGAAAGATGAACAAGTGGATCCTACAGCAGTCAATCCTGAATTATCTCTGGAAACAAAAACACTGAAACTTTAGCCTGTCCTACTTTGGGCACATCCTGAAAAGGCAAGATTTTATAGAGAAGAGAAAGCCTGTCCTACTTTGGGCACATCCTGAAAACGCAAGATTCTACAGAGAAGAGAAAAATTTTGGGGAAACTTGAAGGCAGCAGAAAAAAAGAGGAATTGTTGGGGAAACTTGAAGGCAGCAGGAAAAAAAAGAAGAATACCAAATATTAGATGGTTTGACTCTGTAAAGAAAGCCACAGGCTTTAAAAGAGGAATACCAAATATGAGATGGTTTGACTCCATAAAGGAAGCCACAGGCTTTAGTTTTCAAGAGGTGAGCAGGGTTGTTGAGGACAGTACATTTTGGAAATTGCACATTCGTAGAATTGTCATAAGTTGGTGGTAAATTGATGGCACATAAAAACAACATTTTGGAAATTGCACATTCGTAGAATTATCATAAGTTGGTGGTAACTTGATGGCACATAAAAACAACACGTAGGATCTTGTACACACACACACACACACACACACAGAGAACTTTCATTTCGTGTTCCTTTTAAATTTTTCAAAATTTCAAAACAAATAATCCTTTAAGTGTACTCTCTAATACATTTTCCCTAGTAAGCTCAAATTGGGGGGGGGGGGTTGGGGTTGGAAATTCTCCCATTTATCATCCTAATATAAACGCAACAGAGGAAAACTGGGAGGTAACTGGGGTGCGTTCGCTTGACAGGAATGAAAAAAATACAAACAAAAATCCAAAATAAGATTCAACAGATTATAGTATTTTAAAAGCAATTAGGAAAATGATCAAATGGATCATACCTGGATAGGTATAGATGCATATATTAAAAAGGACACCCAATAATAACTAACCTGTGAAAGAGCTTTTCTTGTCATCCTAGTGGAAAGTGGAGAACGGATGCAGGCAGAACCTCTTTCTGCCTCTTTTATACTACGTTACTCAATTAATATTGCATCAACCTTATTTTAAAATTTCAGAACCCACAATATAATGTAATGACACAAGGACATTTATTATTAAAGGACGTTTGATTGAGAGAACTCACTGGGTCTCGCTCAGAAAACAAAATAAAACTAGGACGTTTAAGGAACCTTTTGTAGCCATGTTAATGACTAATAAGATATGAAGGCGTTATGAAACACTTAAAAAAATAAAATTAGAGTAGGATCTATTCTAAATTTATGTGGTGGATGAAATGAAAAGACAATGTATTCAGAACGCCGCCGGCCCCTGATCATTAATTGTTAATGGTTTTAAGGTGCTTCTGGGATTTAAAAACAAAAGGCCATTTTTTCTCCTTTTAAACAGGATTTCAAATAAATCGATAGTGTTGTTTCAAACCAGCTTTTTTTTAAAAAGGGGGGGAGAGAAAAGAAACTTTAAAGAAACAAATTGTTCCTATTCTAAATGGAACGATTTTAGATAAACTTTGCTGGAGAAGAGGCAGTCTAAATTTTTTTCCAGTGAACATTGATATGATTTGTCCCAACTACCTTTAGGCTTAAGAATCTGGAAAGTACTAAATCTTCCTTCTTTCCTTGCTCTCTCTCTCCCCCCCCCAAAAGAACCTTGATGGTTTAATGAAAAGGCTGCAGGTAAGAATAATGGTAAAACAATAGAGAGCGATACCCAAAGAGAACGTTGTGAATTAAGATCCGAGACCTGAAAGAACAGGTCACTAAATGCAATGTTTTCGCTGCTACACCTGTCAAAGAAATAAGCTCCAAGTATAAACAAAGTAATCCGTTTTTTATAATTTCTAATTCGTTTTCAGTACCTCTCCTCTTTTGGAATCGCTTCGTTTTTAGGCAACCAGCAGGCTTTTACCCTCAAAAATCCACAAAGACAACACCACCACCACTGTGGGAGGAGAGAAGCAAACTTCCACTCGGGTTGAAAAATAAAGCGCTTTATTTGAGAAGTTTCAGGCGGTTTTTTTCCCCTGAAAAAACGGGCGTGTAGGCAGCAAAGAAATTACCTTCTTCTCCTCGCTTAGTGGAGAGCCAGCTTTTAATGGAAACAAAAGGGGAAGAGGGATGAGGAATGTAACTTTTTCAGGGACTCATCTCCGGTGTCCTTCCCTTCAGATCAATCCGGATGCAAGTCCCTCCGTGGTTCACCGAATCTAAAACGGGGTTCGATGGTCCAGCCCAAAAGGCTGGCCTGCAACCCGGCCAAAGTGAAAGTGCTCGGTTTTAACGCCCACGAAAACCAATCATCTGAAATGCCTGTTCTTTCATGCAATGCATCGCGCGCGCTCTCTCTTTCTGTTTTTAAAAACTAAACCCTTTAAGCTTGGCTTCCTAAGAAGACTGGACCAAGATGAATGGAAGCGGGGGAGGGTGGAGAGAACTGGGACGAAGCTGCATCTAGAAGGTGCAACGCCTCACCTCATGGAGGTCAATCGGAGTCCATTCATTTCAATGGCTCAGGATTCTCTTAAGACACAATTCCGACGGAAAGAAATTAGCTGTCCCCTTGTAAGAGAGTCTGTCACTGGGGTGCCTGCCTCAGAAGGAGGGGGGATGTCTCGTTCCAGACACCAAGTCTTTGATTTAGAAATAGGTTTTATTTTAAAATACTCTTCTTTTGCTTTCAGCTCTCTCCAGGAAAATAAGAAACTTTATTCGGTGATCATGTGTGTGTGTGTGTGTGTGTTTTAATAAGAACAATGTGGCCCGCCTCCCATTTATTTCGCAAAGTGAAAAAATAGAGCTCACCTCCATATCCCTCTTTTAAGAAAGGATCGGATTATTTTATAAAAGTATGTATACACATCTTAACCAGCATGCTGTTGGTTGGGCAAGAAAACGGTGCTGAACCAACGCAAACGATCCCCAAGCTCGAACTCACATTAAACATCGGGTTTCCGGGGACTAACGTGTTTTCTCTATAAAATCCGCACCTGAAACTTCAATTTATTATTAGTAAAATCTCAATCAGTCTTGTTTCCCTCGGGCCCCCTTCTTCAAATCCGGAGGCAACTCTTTTCCCCTCCAAACTCTGGTGATCAATCGGGGTGGTGGTGCTGTTTTTTGCCTCTTTGTGTTTATTTTTTCTGCTGCTGCTTATCGGAAACAAACCAGTTCATCTCGAGTTTTTTCCCCCTCTCTTCCAACCAAAGTGACCAGCGCCGTCCACCCTGGCGCGGCCAAAAGCCACCGCCGTCGAGGAAAGGGGCCCCCAGGCTGATGAAAACGGGCAAGGCTGGAACCGAGGCGCCAATAAACTTTTTCCCTGGGGTTGTTGGGGCGTCCGTAGGTCGGCGGGTGATTTTTGTCCTCCAGCCGAGGAAGCGCAACAGACAGAGGCCGGCAAGGAGCGCAGGGTGGGCGCCACAGCCCTCTCCACGTCCACGGCTTGGTCCCGGGCGGGCGGGCGCGCCGTCGGGCTGCGCGGCAGGGTTTCAAAGACCGAGGGGGGGAGAGGCCTGCCGGGGACGGGGGGGCTCTCAGTGGCCGGCGGCGTACTTCATGCGCTTCTGCTTCTGGCGCTGGTTGCAGAACCAGACGCGCACCACGTTCTTCTTGAGGTCGAGCTTCTCGGCGATGGCGGCGATCTTCTCGGAGGAGGGCCGCGGCTGGACGGCGAAGTACGCCTCGAGCGAGCGCTTCTCGGGCGCGGCGATGGAGGTGCGCTTGCGCTTGCGCTCGGCGCCGCCGAACAGCTCGGGCTTGGCGCTCCGGTCGCGGGCGGCGGCCTCGGCGTCCTCCAGCCAGGCCTGCAGCACCGGCTTGAGGGCGATCATGTTGTTGTGCGAGAGGGTGAGCGACTCGAAGCGGCAGATGGTGCTCTGGCTGAGCGAGCCCACCCCGGGCAGCTTGAGGTCGGCCAGCGCCGCGCCCACGTCGGCCTGCGTCACCCCCAGCTTGATCCGGCGCTGCTTGAAGCGCTCGGCGAAGGCCTCCAGCTCCCGCGGGTCCGACTC